TACTTAGATACAAAATGCTAGTGATCAGACACGAAAAAATATGAGACATACTAAGGGTATGCAGGGGACGGGGAAGAGACTTAACGTTCGAAGTCACATCATGCGGGGTATCTGAACAGATGGAAAACTTGCTTGCGTCGAGTGCGCATGGGCTGTATGGGTATAAGGGGCGTACTGGCCACCCTGAGAGAAATCTACGTTGGACATACCGCGAGGGTCGGGCTCATAGCGAGGCAGGTGCGACCTATGCTCCGAGTATTGCTGGGTATAGCTTTCAGCATGCTCATACCCAGGTCCTTGTGGGTGCTGGGCCATAACAGGCCGGGAGTCTGGCTGGCTAACATAGGACCCAGTTGGGTGTTGGTAATGAGTCGGTTGCGAGTATCTTCGCTGGGACTCGTAAATGCCAGGGGTATCCTGCGCGTATGATGCTGAATAGCCTGCATGAGCAGATAATGGTTGCGGGGGGAAGTAAGGCGCTGCACTCGTGGGCGTAGGCAGTGCCGACTGGGGAGAATGGAGGGGCGCATGGTGGGGAGACTGAAGCGGTTGGTGATACTCGGGGTTGTAGGCTTGAGCTCCGCTGGCGTCCAAGTGCTCCGGGGCAGGGACTGGCGCGCCACCGACGTTGGAGTACCCAAACTGGCCAGGATGGTAGTGATGGAAAGACGGCGACTGAATCTCTGGTGATTGGGGACTTGAGTGCTCGGGCGCACGAGAGCCGGGCATCATAGAGCTGTGATAGGGCATAGTACTGACGGCGCTGGGATGGCTCGGCCAGTCTTGAATTGGGGGCTTGAATATAACACGTTGGGTGTACCCTTCGCAGTTGCGTTTCGACTTGATGCAGTTGCCGCACGTCGGCCGCTCCTCGCCGCATTTGATGCGCCGTCTTCGACATGTTAGACAGCCAGTCTTGGTCCTCTTCCTCATCTTTGGGTTCGTAGCGGGGTTGTTGCTAGAAATTGGTGATACAGGGCCTGAAGCTCTCGATGGCGCGCCTGGATATGCTGAGGCCATGGCTGCTGGGAGAGCGAAGTTAACCAGAGTGATCTGTGGGCAGTGTTAGCAGACAGTCATCGAGGTTGTAAAAGTGAGCGAAGAGTCAGGAGCCGACTGCGCAGAAGTCAGACATCTTGGATATGGGAGGGACTGTACCTAAGGACTTCGGGTTTTTGTTGAGACGCAAAGGGAGGTGGGGGAGCACTGCGTCGATGCGGCGGGCACAGCAGGGCCGAGAAGGGTAAGCGGCGAGCGGCCGCTAGATAATGGTGATGCACAGTGGCCTTGTAGGGCGGCAACGGTTAAGCTGTAGGCTCCAGTCTCCAGAGAGTTGAAAGAGGGTAGTGAGGCGCTTTGGATGTCCCCAGGGGCTGTCAATCTGGACTGGCAAAGGAGTGAGGTTGTGACAGCGTTTGGAGCCACGAGCGGGCACGGGGCTGTGGGATACGATTGAGATATACCTACGCAAGGCAGTGAGCACGGAGCATGCGTGAACAAGGCCAACAGAGGGCTGACGGACAAACGCCGTCGATGAACAGACAGGGCACCCTGCACTCCCGGATGGTGGCAGAGCCCGAAGTGGGTAGCAGGCGCTCGACGAGGGCTGAAAGGGTTGGTCAGGTCTAGAACTGGCAATCAGTGCTATACTTCTCCTGGCAGTGAGAGGTGGGAGGGTGGGTCAGTGACGATAGTCAATTGGCTTCTGCAGGTAGAGGTGCAGCGGCGGCGGGGGTTGCAGGTCGGCGTCTTTCTCAAGTGGCAGAGGCTTTTAGGGTCACGAATGGCAAAAACGGAGAAGATGTGTAGATGGAGCTTGCCGCCATTGGGCAGGCAGGGACTGGGGACAAAGACTGGGCGCGGGGATGCAGAGGGATCACAGCTGGGGGGGATGGCGTGAAGACGTCGAGGAGGGAGGTTTGTGACTCTGGGCCTGGCTCGGTGGGAGTGTCCTGGGTCGAAAAGGCCCGTGCCCGTTCCCCATCCCCTGGCTGTCCCCGGCACATCCTGGCATTTCTTCAAATGATGCATGGGATATCAAGGGGCGCGGTCCTCGGGACGACGCCCACGACGGCCCTGATCCAGGTTGTGACGGCAGCCATTGTATCTTCCGTAATTGCGCGGTGCCCGGAATAGCATCCCCGAACCTTGGGAATGGTCTGAACTCTGAAGCTCATCAATAATGATCAGGGCCGGGGATGAGCAGTTGCTAAATGCAACGTTCAAGTGGGTGCATCGGGGCAATGAATCGTGGAGCCCTCATCAGTATCGGCGGAGACAGAGACGCAGGCTTCATTACGCCGACGAGCCAGGAGACGATTCAGAGTCTACGTCTACGAGGGCTAGGGACGACAGCTTTGCAGGGTCGTGTTTATCGTCATCTCTCGGCGTCCATCTCGTGTGCTCCCTTCTCCACCTCTGTGATCAGCACCATGGATCAATAATAACAAATGATGCCTCTGATGCATGAGCTTCAATAAAAGCGCAACCCGAAGCGGCCAAGCTGGGATCGCCCGTGGAGTGCCCGCTGTGCTGGGACGCTTTGCTGCCGGCCGCTCATCTTCCTGTTGCTGGAACAAGGGCGTATGGTCGGGCTCAGTACGTAGTGTATTTACTTTCCAAGGCTCTGTATACGTACTGACGAACCACAGTTGTGCGGGCCTGGGCGCTCCTCCGCTGTGGATGCAGCTGCTGTGCCTTCGGAAGTCCTGGCCAGCTGGTTACCGCCAGCCACAGCCAGACTCGACCGCTGCCCCTGTGCAGCTTCGACCCGACTCCGTACGCTGTCAGGCACGAGAGCGCGCTGTGCGGTGAATCTTAGTAGCTGATGCGATATGATTTGCGCTGAGGCTGGCGTCGAGCCTGGTTGGCGGCGCGATTGACAGTGCCCAGCGCGCTGTGGCTCCCATCAGCCGCCGCCATGACGCTATAGGACCACCGTGCTTAATCTGCCAACTGTGGATCATCAGCTTCATCAAATGTCCAATACTGCCAAATCTTGGAGTCGTTGCGCCAGCTACACAGGGTGAGCAGCTGCACGCCCGGCCACGCGACGACGAGAGTGCCGGCATGGTTACGAGGTGCGGACGAAACAACAGCGAGGTTTGGGCTCTGGGAGCTATTCTTGCCATCCGCTGCAGAGGGCGAATACGTGGAGCAGGGGCCGCTACAATAGCCACTTTCAACATGCCCTGCAGTGACAATCGCCCGGTACGCATTATCCCGGACTTCCCGCCTCGCCGCATACAGTTGCTGCAGAGTTGTGCCTCTTCCACTCTCATGGGACACCTCGTATAGGTGTTAGGTATGAAGAGTTGGGAGTTGTGAATGTGCGCACGCTGCCCTTGAGTAGAGTGCTTTCTAGCCTTCAAGCCCTGCCTCAGCCCCTCGCTCGTATTCTGGGTTGCTATGGCTCCCACGAGGCTGGCTGTAGACAGCTGTCACCCGCTCCCCCTCTTGCTGACGTTCGCAGGCATTCTTACGTCGTCCAATAACTGGCCGGGGGCTTTGCGACCACCGACGATGCCTCAGAGGCAAACTTTCAACCTGTTATGAAGACGGAAACCAGCTTCATTCACGAGTTCTTCGAGGTGCCTTGTGCAATAACACATGCAATAACATCTGGGAGCTGCAGGTACTGCAGCAGTCGGAACTTATGCATTCTGCAATAATCTATACATAACAACGAGCCCTGCGGGCTCTCGGCTGCTCCCGAATACGAACATTCAAGTCTCTTCATCTGTTCGTCAGAAGATGCCACTCCCTCCTTCCTATTGCTCTTTACTCCGGATATCCTCAGTTGGGCACGGTAGCACCTGCAATGTCAAAGTATGCCGAGGACGACCAACCCCTGCATGACTGCCACACCCCTGAGTCTGGACTCTTCTTCTAAGCTCCCATCCCATCTCTACGACCACATCCAGCATCCCACACGAAGTCCGCCCACGCCCGTATCCTCCGATCTCCCCAATCCAGATCTCCGTCCACCGTCGTCCGTGCCCCAGAGCGATCCGTGTACGCTAGCAACTCGATCCACGGCCAGGCCCTCGCCCGGCACGAGCGCCTTCCCGTCCTAGCCACGCGGTCAGACCACCTCTCTCTCCAAGGCTCGTCTTGCGCCACAAGGACAGAGTTCATTGGAAAAAACGACTTTTCGATAGCGCGGCTTTGATTTGCAACTTTGAATCGCCATAACATTTGTGGCGTGCGGCTGCCACGTGTGATCGGTATGCCCGAATCCGCAGGTATTGCGAGGCTAGGCACGTGAAAGGCCGTGATATAGGGCCGTCGGGGAAGAGGGAAGACGAGGCACAGTACGGGCGTAGTAGGGGCTAATTCTTTGTTATCTTTTGATTTAGTCGGACTCTACCCTACCTAACCTCTCCTGTGTCCGTGCATGAAGACAGAAGGGGAGAGAAATCGCCTTTTCCGAGGCATGTATCCACCTCCACGTGTGATCGCTGCTAACATTCGCCTTCCCCAGCATCGCAAACTCTAACTGCTGGCTAAGCATGCACGACATCTGTAGATTTGTGGGCCAGTCGATGCGAACGTGTTGAGAGCTGTAGGAATATCAAAAGAAAGCTCCCTCACAGTGTGTGGTAGTTATATATCTCACACCAAATTCCGCTCCTGTATGAAGAGTCCCATCGTCCTCTTCAACTAGAAACTGAGGAGTGCAATGAAATCGAGTGTTTACGCATGTCTCCGAACCTGAGGTCCTGTATAGCCATCCCATATCAAACCCCTTACCGCGTAAGGTTATTTCTCGACCATCCCATTAGCCTTCCAGATGAATATTGCCATCCAAACCCAACGACCAAGCATCCCTGACCCACCCGACCCACTCCACAACAAACAACCCCACAACGAAACGAAACCGATCACGGACCCCCATATCCAGTTTCCCGCCTTTGCGTTCACCCTCTCATTTCCTTTTGATTTTGTGGTATATAAACTTTAGCTATTAAAATGCTTATATAATCAAGACAACAGTCAACGGCGCTTTGACGGAGTGGTTAACGTGCACGCCTGCTATCCTCTCTCCTTCTCTAAGGAAAGACTGCGAGTGTGTTCCTTCGGGAGCGAGAGTTCGAATCTCTCAGGCGTCGATTTCTTTTTGTAATCGTCTGTATATTTTTGTTTGCTATATGGCACCACGGCTCAATACCCAACGAGCCATCTCTCTCATTTTAGCACTGACAGCACACTGCGCTTTCTTACCGCTAGATACGTTGTCTGCGCCTCACCCTGCGTTTTTTTGTATTTTCAAGAATCGCCCCAAGGTCATAAGGTTCTGGGAGTCTCACTTGAGTAGCGGGGAAGAAGATCATACTGTTCTGGCTGCCTCGCCTGTACCTAATCTCTTGCCAAAATACTCCTCCCATGACATCGGGGTCGGAAAACTCTTGGACATATGTAGCACTACCTAGGTAGAGGGACTTTCATTCGAAATAACTGCTCATCCGGTCTTGATATTAGCGAAGTATGTCATGAAATGAGAAGCGATCCGTTCATTCACCAATAGCAGTGACTGTTGGCATGCACTCCGAATCTATCTCTACATAACGACTCGATATCTTCTTCCCACCAAACACTGCTCTCATATAGCCTCCGTCCCCCAATGCAGCACCCAAATCCCATATCATCCACACAAAACCCTCGAACAGAAAGCTACGATTTCAGGCTGAACTGCGCCCAAACGTAACCCTGCTTGTCATTATGAACATTCAACGATAGCCATCCTCCGGCTCACATACCCCCACGATACACTCATGATAATACACATCCCGCCGGGTTCAAAACTCATCCGACGGAGTAAGACGGAGTAACCACATACCCCCAGTCGACAGGCAACGGCACCTAGCCCGAAAACCTGAATCTCGAAGCCTCCAGCCGGCCCAAACCCTCCCTGGGCGCTACATTCCTCCTGCGATACGATGTGGTGAAGTCCTGGAGGATGGTGCGGATCATGCGGATATCGCCGGACTGGATGCGCTGCCGGATGTTGTTCAAGAAGCGCTCGGCTTCTTGGGGTGTGATATGGCCGCTCGGGAGCATGCCGACGGTGGACTGGACCCAGAGAGCGACGTCTTCGGGCATAATTTCGAACAGTTCGAGAAGGACGCCTGATGCGTCTGCGAAACAGCCTTCGGGGAAGATGTACATCATGCCTGTCATGATGCGTTGGACCATGTCTGATCCTGCGGTCAGGATGAGCTGTTTGATCCGGTTGCGGAGCGCGTCGGGGACGTCATGGCGGGAGTGTTCGCCATTGAAATTTGAGGAGGGCGGGGAGTTGCGACCGTACCCGAGGAGGTCCCGTAGGAAGTGAAGTGTGGCTATGAGAGGTTCCTCTTTGAGGAGCGTAAGAGAGCTGCAAGCGGCCTGAAGGACGTTTTCCATCAACGGCGATGTTATCGCTTGGTTGGGGAAGTACAGTGCCATGTCAGACGCGAGCCGGAAAAAGTCCTCAATCACTGGAATGGTCAGTAGAGTTGCCGATGGGCACAATGGATGCACTTACGGTCAGGTAGCTGATCTGGCGGTAGGTCGTTCAGGATTCGCAGGAACGTAACAGTCTGTTGCTCGTAGAACTGAAAGACGGCTGCGGTCATGTTCGGGTCCACGTCCACGTCGCCCTGTGAGAACTCCCGTACTATAGCGCCAGTCGCCCATAGGAAGCAGCCCTGTCTTGACGTTGCAAACCCTTGGGTCAGTTGTGTGGCGAGAGCAGGGAGCAATGGCTGCATCGCCCCTTGGTAGGAGAGCACCATGCTCCGCCAACACCTGCAGACGCGCTCGAGTACCGGTACGCTGTGCGAGAAATGCGTTGCAATCTCGCTCAGAGTACTGAATATGTCGATGCAGTACTTGACGGCAGGATGCTCACTGCCCACCGGCACGTCTGGTCTCACCCATTGAGTGAAGATGGTAATGAGGTTGATCTTATCTGCGGTTCTGGTTATCATTGACGTACTGTGAAGGGAACCGCGGGCAAACATACCTGCCAGTTTCTTCTGCTCCTTGTCATCTTTCGCGTTGTTTGCTAGTGCAACAATGCTCTCCATGACGGGGTTGCAGTAGAGTTTGAGTGTTTCGTACACCTCCGCCGTTGGCACCTTGGCGATGACGGCAGCAACACCCTCTGTGATCTCCTCCTGACTGGTCATGGCTAAGCCGTCCAGATTCTTAGCATAGAATTGTTGCAACGGCTGGACATGATCGACAAGCAAGGAGGCGCAGTCGCTACAGAAGAATCTGAACGACAGTGCAGCTGCTCTGACAATGTCTGGTGAGCCATGATCAAAGGCGCTCATGATGAACTGCAGCTGGGGCTGTAGCGTCGTGGGGTGATGTGCAGTCCACTCAGTATATCGCCCGAGAGCCATGACAGCTTGGAATCGCACTTTCTCGTGGTCCGGGATCGAGACAATGAGCGGGATGAGTTGCGGGAGCATCTCATCTTCCTCGGGCGCCACCATCCTCCCCATAGCTCGTACAGCAAACAATGGTGCTTCGAGTTTTTGCCACTCCGGAACATGGTTGGCTGCCACCTGTGACCCGTACGCTTGCACCCATGCATTGATCAGGTTGTACGGTTTGCGCAGGCAATCTGTCACGCCCATGACCTCGCAGCAATCTTTCAGAACATCGCCCATCTGGTGCCTGAATTCGCGGAATTTCTCCTCTTGCTCTCGGTCGCCTTCGAAAAGGTCTTTCTCGTCGCCACTGTCTGGCTTTGGATACTCCAGGTGGCCTATCATGATGTCCACGAGCCGCGAATACACCGGAACGCACTGGGCCCTAGCCGGCGCATACTTGTCCAGCGTAAGGTACTGCTTGAGATCGTACCAAAATTTGAAAGTGTGGGAGATGGCATCTCGTTCCTTGTCCAGTGCAGCGGTGTCCAGAACAGCAGTAACGAGATTATGGAAATCGACCGGTAACCGTGCGATCAGCAAAACCCATGATTCTCCCGCTTCGGCAAATATCCTGGCATAGCCTTTGTATCTTTCCGCGTCCTCGGCACTGGCTGCCTCTGCAAGGTCGGAATGTAGGCCGACGACTTCAGGGTACAGAACCATGATGTTGGGCATACACTCATCCACGTCCCGAGTTTCATATATCAAGGCGCATAAACATTCGACTGCGGCCTCAAAGGAGTCATCGTTCCCAAGGCCATTGAGGATGATTTTGAGTAGAGGGGAGTTGACGATAGCGTCCAAAGGCACTTCTCGCATCCAAGACGTGATACAGTGGAACAGTTGAGGATTTTGCGCAGCCGCAGCTATGGATGTCAGCCTAAAGGGGACGTAAAGCGGAGGCAACTCACGGGATGACTGTGCGTATTGTTTGAGGAGCTCAAGCGCCTGGAGGGCATTATCCTCAATCAACTCTCTTGTCCTGATACTCAGCTCTGATTCCTGGGAGCACCAATATTAGACTGTGACCAAACTAGTGTGCGATACCAGAGGGGTTCCCCATAAGCTGGTAGGTGGTGATTCGGCCGAACGTACAGTGAGGTTGATTTTTCGGCCTTGAGTGACTTCTTCCGGAAGGACACGAAGGAAGTCCAAGACGCAGGGCAGCGTTGATGGGTCGGTGCCGAGGGTAGAGACCATGAGAGGCAGTACGTCTTTCCAATCGGTCATTTGCAGAGCGAGATTCGCCAGACAGACGCATAGCATCAGTCTAATCGGCTTGGGGCCAGCGCGGTAAGTCACAAGGTTTTCCATGATTTTATCTCGTAGATCGGGAAGCGACTGGCGGGGGAGTTGGTGGAGATCGTATATTATCTGTCTCCGTTAGCCCCGCAACCACACCAACAGCTGTGACTTACCTTGCCCTTGAGAGTTGTGGCCGCAAAAAGTTTCGCTCCGGCTTCGACGCTGCTGTCCTCCAACATTGCCAAAGTCGCCTTCCATGCATCCTCCTACATGGAGGGTAAGCACTGACGTTGCGGGAATCATGCCCGGCAGAACCTACCGACTTCTGGAAGGCCTCCAAAAACTCGTGTGCCGACTCCTTCTGCGTCCTGTCCGCCGACGACATCATCAATGTGTGTGCTTGCAGCACAGGCGCAAAGGCCTGCTGCGCGTCTGTGGCCATGTCTGGGAGGTGGATTGGCTGCGGGAGTGATCAAGGTGGGATGTGGGATGTCGGTCGGAGGGGCGGGGGAGTCGCGGGCTACCAGCAATATCGCATGCACGCTTGCAAGTTTTGGGTAGAGGGGTAAGGAGCGGCGGACAACGACGTCGTGAGAGGAAGCTGGCGTTCGATGTTGGAGAGAGGGCGACTTGGAAATGCTTGGTTTAGCTGTCCGGGGCTCGAGGTGGTTGCTAGACAAAGTCATGGTTCAAGCGCCCGCGGTCCCACAGGGGCTTGGCATTTCGCTTGCGCCTCCGGCCGTGGCTGGTAAATCCCCGACGACATTCATCGCGCTGTTGCTTGTGCTGCAACTCTACCAGCTTCCCCAGACTCAATCAACGTTTTTGTCACCGAAGTCACAGACACCACAGCTTACAGATAATCAACATGGCTGGACGCGGTGAGTAGGGCCCCAAAATACCACAGACCCAAGCTAACAGGCAGACAGGTCGCGGCGGAGGGAAAGGTACGATCCGATACAAAAGCGCGCTACAGTCGAGCTGACGGTCTGCAGTGCTCCTTCCCCCCATCAACTTCATATTCAAGCTCCTGCAGCAGCGACAGACGATATCAGTCTGGCTGTACGAGAACCTCGGCCTGCGCATCGAGGGCAAGCTGAGAGTGAGCGCCAGAGGGTCGCCGCGGATGTTTCTTTGCTCACATTAGACAGGGTTTCGATGAGTTCATGAACCTCGTAATCGACGACGCCGAGGAGGTTTCATATGACAAGAAGACGCAGAAGGAGGAAGGTCGCAGGAAACTGGGTACGTACAGCGAAGCTCGCCTGCCCAACAGCTCCTCACACCGGTACAGGACAGATCATGCTGAAAGGCGACAACATAACCCTTATCCAACAGGTCCAATCGTGAGCACAAGAGGAGATGATATCATCGCATCGGTTTTGTGCTTCTGGAAGTTGGGGCACCGAAAAGAGTTTGCAATATGAGACGGGAGTCTACTG